CATTGGCTACTCAAACGCAATTATGAACGTATTAAATAATACTTAATACCATCGGCGTGCGTATCTCGGAGTTTACCGTTCGTGTTATTATTTTCAAAGCTGAAGATCTCCTTCTTGTTCTTTGAACGTTTTTTATGGATGAGAACATCGTATATCGTGGCCACTGTCACAAGACCACAAAACAGTATCAAAAATCCCCTGCAAGTTGATTGTTCTAATGATTCTACCCAGCATTTTCAATTGCGCGTTGAGAATCTACATACAAGATGAAGATTATCTTCGCAGATAGAAGCCATTGATGATCGTCCACCAAATCGGCGACTTCGGTTAGCTGGAAATTTGCAGAGAAAAGTTCTCCGACCAAAAGTTTCCTGTCGCTCAGCGCTTTTTCCAGCATCGTGGCTACATCATGCTTAGTGCAGGACGCCGGTAGACAAAATCCGATTGTGATCAAATTCTAAGGAAACGTGCGATCTGTCAGATTCTCCGGCCCATCACGATCGTACAGTAAAAACAGGCATGTACATATCGTTACGTGTACAATCTTAATCGGCCACATACTGAGTGCAACTTCCATTAGCTACCAACAACTGATGGAAAGGTACGAGATACGAGCTCTAAAAAATATTCGTGTAACCTACCTCGTTGCTCACTTCCACGTGATATTGTAGAGTGCTGTTGTGCAATATACGGGCAGCGAAAAAATGCAGCTCGAAAGGTGGAAACTCTTCCTTCGGATTTCGATATATCGAGTTGTTCTTTCGTACTTCTCCCGAGAGCGACAGAGTGTGATTGTCAGAGATGATTTTACAATTTGGACGATTCCCCAACCAGAAATTGTTCCCATTGATGAATCCCGATGGTGGCACTCCACTGTTGTCCAACACTTGAAAAACATACGAGATACCATGATCGATGATAATTCGTGATGAGACTCTAAAACAACCGTGCGTGCGCGATTTCGGTGTTTCAGAGGCGATTTTACACGCTCCGAAACCTAATTTCTCGCGTAACACGCGAAGAAAATCTGAGGGGCGGGGGTTGACTCGACGAAAAGTCACGCGTCTCTCCGATGCGTAAGTTGTCGTTTTCAAAAAAAAAAAAAAAAAAAAAAAAAACAATTCACGCGGTTGCGTAAGAATCGGTTTTATTGTTATTGAGTCGAATTTTCCGCGTTGTAAAATGCCTTCCACATGCGAAACGACGTGTTACGAAATACAGAACCCGCAACCACGATATGCATAGTTTCATCGGGTATAGTTCGATTCGCGATTGCTCAAGTA